TCCTGCTGTTGCTCTGCACTGCTATTTTAAACAGCAAAGACGGTGACAGTGAACGTGTGCCATAACCAGAGCAGTGCTTCAATTACAAAGTTATTCAGTTGTTTTGGTGAGTAAAAAAAATTAAATGAAATTAAAAACTTAGTGGTTTTTACCTGTCCTATGTTAAACACAACTGTTTATTTTTTCGTGTTACAGAAAGTTCAAACCTTGGTCTTGTGATTAATTCCAAATGTCCTGTGATTTCCTGAACTTTAAACTTTAAACTGCATTTTTTGGCACAAATAACAAGTGATCAAATAAATATTCAAAATAGCAGCCTGCAATACATCAAATAAGCCATTTCTATAATGGAACATATATATATATATATATATATATATATTGGTTCTTTGCCACAAATCTCAGGCAGTTATCAAATTCATTAATTGATCATTCTATTATCAAAAATCAAATATCATTCACTATATTTCTGTACTTTCAAATAAACAAAACAGCTTCCTCTTTGAATTTAATATTTAATAAATAGAGAAACAAATCATTAAGTAATATTCATTATTTTAAATAAGGAAGGAAAGTGAACTACCTGTCATTGTGACACAGCACAGCAGACAACCAAATGTGAGCTCTGCTTTTAACCCATCACCAAAGTGAACAGTGGGCAGCTTTAGGTGCCCTGGGAGCAGTGTGTGGGGACGGTGCCATGCTCAGAGCACCTCAGTGGTAACTTGACAGATTGTGGACTTGAGCCTGAAGACTTCCAGACCCAAGTCCACTTCCTTAACCACTAAGCTACGACTGTCCCTAGTGATTATTAGTTCAGGTTTAAGCCTTAGGTAATGGGGGAAAAAAGTAGAAAACAAAAATAAAAAGAAGCAAAAATGTCACTCATCTGTCTGTGTATGTTTAATCCAAACAGTTGTTTTTGACCGACTCCAAGCCCATCAAATTAGATCTGCTATTTTACAAAGAACTGCTTCTACAAACTGTTTTCTTCAATTGCGTGGACAAGCTAAGCTAGCCAATCTGTTTCTCTTTTGTCTGACATTTTTCCTCCTCCTTTCCTTCACAGGTGAGTTCCATCAACTTACTCTCCTCCTACCCTTTGTCCTGATTAGTTTAAACAGGTTTCCCTTTCTGCTTCAAAATAATACAGCACAGTATAAAAAATAAGCATCGACCTGATTTAAAAGAATAAAACATTGATTAAAACAAGTTTTTCTGAGGCCAATGTGGTCAAAGATACACACTACAAAAGTTTTGCAGAACTTGAGAAACAGTTATTGTTTCAGCCGACAACCCTGATGTCAGTCAGAATAGGGACGACTCAGACTTCCCTTCTTTCTGCCTCACAATTCTTAATGCTTTGTGCTGCCTGCCGAATTTAATTAGCAAGTCCAAACAATGTAATCTGTAGACGTGCCTGATGCAGCAGTGTGGGCTGACGCACGACCCACCTCTAATTTCCAGGTGCCATCTCGTCCCACACATTCCACTCAAGTCATGATTACTGTGTATAAAGTATGCACTTATTTTATGTGACAGAGTGACAACATTTCTGTGCACACATCACTGACGGAGACCTGTGTGCTATCGTCAAGTTTATACCTTGGTACAAAGGAAGCCTAATTTAAGCTCAACAACAGCACAGTGCTTGTACGGATTTTCAGAGCGCTTCCATATGGAAACTCCAAATCAAGAAACTGAACAGTAACTGTGGAAAACATGGGGGCAGTGTTGCACAGCACAGATGACATTCATATTGTAAAATTAAAATCTTTAAATAATTTTAAAAATATGTTACCAATAATTTACAAATTGTATTCAATTGGTTGCAGTACAAAAACATTATATTTATTTTATTTTTTTAATTATATCTTATTATACACAATGTGGTGTTAAATCAACTTTCCTTTAAATAAACTCCATTAATCAATTAGACTTTTTTCATTTATTTAATGTGTAGAAAACTGTGTTTTTCTGGAATCTTAGTTTGAGACGATGATCTCAACAGGTGGAATAATTGGTTGTGTCATGCACTCAAGTAGAGGAAAAGGTTTCAGATGGTACAGCAAGACACGCAGTCATTAACATTGATTTCGCCACAAAAGTCTTTGTGGTTTATTAGGCACTAAAAGCATCAGCCACAAAGCCACTGCTAACCAAGCGTAAAAAACCCTAAGCACAACTAGAAAATATTTGCTGTGTTGTTGACTCTCCTCCACATGGACACAAACAACACAAGGTGGAAGAGTGCTCTAAAACAGGCTGTCATAACATCAGGGTTCAGGGTTTTTGACTTTGCTACACTTTTGGATTGCTTGAACTATATATTACACATGTAAGTCTTTTTTAGATTGTATTTTTCTTATATTGAAGGGAAGGTATGTCTTGTGTGTGAATGTGTTAAGTCATAAGAATTGGATTAATGGCATAACGTGTGTTGGACATACAACACACATCAAAAATAATGTAGAAAAACAAAAATAATTCACTGTTTTCTCTCAGATATGGTGCTCTCAACATTTCAAAAGGGTGACCTTTGGTGATGGACGTGGTCTTACAAAAATGTGAACGGAGGATTTTACTTGATGGGCTGCAACAACCTAAATCAACACAGGCATTAATTTTAAAAATGA